ATATATTTTTTGCTATTTTGTGCTGAACATATCTGATATGAGATTTCCAGGAGAATTTGTCATCAACTATGACACCTAGAAATTTAATTTCATATACTCGTTCTATATTAGCTCCCCCAATTTTCAATTGCAGTTCGTTACCTAGTCTACGATTCCCAAATACCATAAATTTAGTTTTATCCAGATTCAGAGATAGTATATTACTGTCACACCATTTCTTTATCTTCTCAAGTTCCTGTGAAACCCGTCCAGAGAGTTTCTGTAGGTTTTCACTCGATACCCATATGGTAGTGTCATCAGCAAACAAAACCACTTTCACTAAATCCGAAACCTTGCACATATCAAAGACATAGCAATACAATACCTACAAGTACAATATTTTTGTCTGAAATGTAGTGAAGTCAAAGTAGGAAGTAACAGAAAATGAAAATACTCAAGTAAAGTACAGATTACTCAAAACTGCACTTAAGTGCAGTACTTCGGTAAATGTATTTAGTTACTTTCCACCTCTGTCCACCTTAACATCTGTATTTATGAAGCTCAAAATGTTTACATTTTTGTTGAAATTGTCATAAATGTATAAATTCAATTATATGTTTATTCCTGAGATCACAGTTAAAGGTGGTGTTGTACTGTACTACAGCATACTCAGAGGTGTTCCTAATATTCTGACCCTCTCATGTATGTAGCTGCAGATGATAAAAATATAGAGACACTTCTGAATATAATGTAGTCCAGTACAACACCACCTTTAACTCTGACCTAAATAAACTGAAAACACTGTGAGCTTCATAAACACAGATTTTAAAGTGGAAGTGTTGCATTGAATTGCATACAGTTGTACAGGTGTACCTACTAAAGTGGCCGGGTACTGAGATCCATGCTCTATTGGCTGTAAAGGCACTTAGCAGTAAAGCTGTGTTAAGACTCCAAGGCGTCCTGCTGCAGGTGACACTCCTCCTTGTCCAACAGGTGATCTAATTACTAGACGTTAAGTCCTTCTGTTCTCTGTCTGTGTTCCAAGAAGTGCCAATCTTGGCTGCCAGGCAGATTCTTCTGTGTCTATTATTAGTTTGATATGCTTTGTGATGCAGCCGCAGGCAAATGAAGTCAACCAGCAGAAGACCTGCACAATGTCAACTTACCATGATGTGTAAAGAAAGCTCTGTGTTGCATTTATACTGCAGGAGCTGTCACAAATCTTCAGGTATCAGCAGTGTCACACACACAAGTAGGGCATGGAGAGAGCAGCGCCACCCCAGGACCTAGAAGCCTATTTCTCTGTGCAGACCAGAAGGGATTTACCTCTGACACAGAGGACCCTAAGCTAAGTTGTGTTACAAAAAAAAAAAAGAAAGTTAGAAAATAAATAAAGCCATGACAATGATTTAATAGAAAACACTGCCTTTATACATAGAGCTAAATGAGTAAAGCACCACATTAACACTATATTGCTGCTACTCTATGGTGATGTGTACTGAGTTTTCCAATGTTGTTCACAGGATTGTATTGTTCTTTTAAACAATAACATGTAAGTGGATCTTCTACTTTAACAAATCAGTTGTTTCCAGGCAAAGCACACCATCTAGTGGTGAATTGGGAATTGTGACCCTCATACAAATGATCAGGATTATGTTATTTACTGGCATCAGCATTGGAAGATAGATCAATATTTGTATTAGCTTTAAGAATCAGATGTAGTATTAATGTTGCCATTACTGTTCATGGCAGTATTATTAGTAGCCTACTTGAACATTAACATTCACCGGACAAAGAGAGACTGCTGTCAGAGTGGATGCTTGTCAAATGAAACAGAACAAGCCAGTTGAATGGAGAGTGTAGGATTAATTGGCCATAATTGCTCGATATGTGGCGTTCCAAATGACCCAGTTTAGCTGGTGAGCCTTCTCCCTTGGCACCGTGGAGACAAGCTCAGTACCAATATTAGCATATGCACTGAAAGCTGCACAACAGGGTTTTACAAACACATCAGATCAAGGAACCTTAAACCCAGTGCTTTTAAATTCTTAAATTTTGGTTTTAATTGTTTTTCCCTCATTAAGGGTTCTTTAGCAAATTTCTTTTCAGTCACTAAAGGGTCTTATGGCACTGCAGAAACTACCAAGGAAACCACTCTTTACCATTCAGTGGCCTTCCTGTCCTGTTTCCTAAAGCTGTGAGGTGAACTACAGATGTCTGGTTGCAACAAACCGTACGACATGGCAGGCTCCATTCCAAAGCTAGCTTTAGCTGACTAACAAGTAAAGATGAAAATCCAGTAGACTGTTCTGCTTTACTACTAATGTGACACAAAGACCACACAATGCTTAAATTACTCCCAAATTAAAATCATATCATGCCTTTTGACAAATGCTTTTGATAACCTGACAGGCGAGGCTAATTTATGGACCGTACTTTGAAACCAAACAGTAGAAACACTGAAATTACACAAGAGCTGTAGCAGTCATGGAGGGGGTTTAATATAGCTGAACGACATCACATCCTGCCCCATTTTCACTGT